GTGAGTAAAGACGAGATATCAGCAGTTCACCGATCCGATCAAAATCCGTACTGCTTGTCGCTCAAGTGACTGAGACGATCAACAACCGTCTTGATTATAGCTTCAAAATGTTTGCTAATTACACTGAGGAGGCTAATGAGCACTCACCCATATTCTTGAAAACAGTGCAAACACTTGACACCTTCCACAGACTTGGGAAGGATTTCTCCAAACAAAAGTTAAATAATTCCACTAAGATTGGGGATAGTTCAGGGTTAATATTCTTAAGATTTACTAGGATTTTATCTGGACCAATAGCCTTCTTTTAATAAATCTTAAAAATTGCCGGGCTGTGATAAAAAAAATATTACGGCGATTGTGCTCAGTGAGACTCGGGAAGGAGGTAGCCTTTGTTGTCTAATGTTGAGTTAGAGGCAAAGATTGTGGCAAAGAGCTTTGCCTTATCTGATGGGGATGAGATGACCTGTTGCTGTAACATTAATCAAGAATTTTGCAAAAATTTGGAATCACTGCATTCTTCACAATTTACATTAGTTACAAAAACAAAACATTTTGCCATGAGAAAAGAGTGGAATTATTATCAACCAATGAAGTGGGGAGGATATCTATCATCATAAAACTAAATGATAAACAACAGCTCAAAACGGTGTTGTAGACTGTTCTACCGAGGCTGTGACAGTTTGCAGCTCCTGTCGAACTCTCTGCTTTTAGCAGAAAGGAACCCGGACGAGGCTGTGCCGAAGGGCTGAGTTTCGTCTGGGTAGGCAGACAGACCCAAACCCGTTTATGCTGGTTCTACAGGGATTTTTGGCCGAGCCTATGGGCTCGAATGACTCACGTTAAACTGGGCCTTGTGCCACATATCCCTTGTGTGTGGTGGGGGCTGTTAAATATTAACAACACCTTAAAATTAACTTTCTTTCAATATAGGGTTCCTTTGAACTCTTAATGACATTCAGCAATCTTTGGAGTTAGACTGAGAAGTGAGTTTTGGAGGATGCTTGGATTGATCACATGGGTCTAGGAGAATTGGTTGTTAACAATTACTTTCAGGAAAAGATTAGGAAGGATTTGATAACTAAGAAAACACTTCCAGTGATTTTATATTTGCAGCAGTTCTCTTTGCCACATCTTGTCAAAATCTTCGAAATATCTAATGAGATTATCTTTGAGATGCATTTTCACCGATTCTGAGAGTAATAAAAGGATATCAGCAGTGGACCAAGACAATTAAAACCTGTATTGCTTGTCACTCAAGAGGTGATAAACCTTCTTGTTAATTATAGCTTGAAAAAGTTTGTTAATGACACTGAGGAGGCTGATGGCTCTATACTGAGACAGGCATGAGTGCTCACCTGAATTCTTCAAAACAGGGCATACATTTGATATCTTCCACACACTTGGAAATGATTTCTCCTTCAAGCAGCGGTTAAATAATTTCATTAAGATCGGGGATAACTAACAGTTAATATTCTTAAGGACAACCACTGGGATTTTATCTGGATAGCTAGTTCTACAAACTTAGCTGTAGTGAGATGATGTTCCAGAGTTAGCTCAGTATCGTAAATAGATGCATACATTTACATATAATTAGCCTGAAGATTGCGTTCAAGTATGAAACAAGCTGTTGCCATTCGGTCTTAACCTCAGTGTCAGTTTTATATTTTTATATCTACACACGCTCTATCTCTGATATTGAGGACTTTTGTGAACAATATCAGAGATATCAATATAGTATATTTTAAAAGAATATTATTATATATGCATAGAATGGGTGGCTAAAAAACTGTCTCGCCCACAAATCCTTTTCTCTTCAAAATCTGATGTTTGGTTATTTTGGGATCTTTGAGTCCCACTTCGTAGATATGCGGTTTGGTACGTGTTGGCGCAGCCGTTTGCGTGCCAGACATTTTAGTACGAAGCCTTGCTTGGCAGCGATATATTTGCTAACAACGCCAAAATTTCAACTCGCTGTCAGCTTTTTACAAGTGTTTCGTTCTTTTACAGTCTGTTTACATTTTTTAAACTAAATACAATCGTCTTATCGATACGATGGCCGACGAGTTATAAACGAGACGTGGTAAAGAAAAAATTGCGCGTAATGGATTCCTCTATGTCCCTGACAAAACGAGCAAAGCAAATATTTTCTGGTGTTAAAATAACCTGCAAAGGGTTGATAAGCCGTAAAAAACCGAATCAATCAAAACAACCACAACGTGCCCGCAACGTTACCTTTTAATTACGTTCTTGCGTAGAATCACGACCAACTTTCGCTAAACTGTTGAACTTGGACTCTTCGAATGACTATGAAACTAATTGCAAGCGGGATACAACTAACTTCAATATTTGCTAGTATTGTAATATTGATCCTCGTGATGTAACAGTTCTTTCATCTTGTGTTTTGGTGTTTTACTTCGGAATATTATTAATCCGCACTAAGAGCTGATACGAGGATTATAACAGATGTATTAGTAGAAAATAGATAATACGTTCCAGAAAGTTATTAAAACGTGCATTCTATGATAATAATTAATTAACTACTCCTGTTCTTTTCACTACAAACCACGTCGTATAAAAGGCTGCTTAACTACGAGCGATCAGTTTATCAGAATAAAGTTTCTTAAGTTGATATTGGGCGTTCTCTATTCATTACACATTCAACTAACTTATAGATTCTCAATTAAAAAAAAATACGAAAAGAAACTATCTTTTATACATATTATGACTTAACTTTTTCATGTAGCTGTATGGATAAGGTAGTGAATATATCCTCTAAGCTAAGTAATGTAAATACATTCGGCCCCTCTTTATTCTGAAGTTTTCAAGAACCCTCAATAATTTTCTATTTTTGTCTCCTTTTTATTTTTTCAAATTGAATAGGTTGCTTTTCTTCTTTCATACGCCGTTGTTGATTTACCACTCTTGGACCCCACTGCGTGTAAAAAGAATTGGTTAACCACGCCCTTTCCGGAAAACGGTGACCCTTCTTGATGTACTAAATATGAGATAAATCATACTAACCTCTTGACTTAGTTATTTTTTTAAAATTTGTGGGATTTTATTCTGGCTTTTTGTATGTATTAGCATATTAGGTGATGTTATAAATAATTTTGAATTTTGCTTATCAACTTTATTTGAAGAATAAAATAAAGTTGCATTTTATTTTTTGTGATGTCAACGAACACTGGTTTCCACTTTTTTGTAATGCCAACGAATACGCGTTGTCACTTTCGTAATGCTCGTTGTAGTAAAGACTTTGTAATCGCAGATATAACTATAGTAATGCCGTTGAACAATGCTGATGTCAGGCGCCTTGGAATAGCTCAATATTACTCGCTGGAATAGTAATCCGTATAGTGAAATAATATAAGTAACGGTTCGTAAGTAATAGTGGAAATTGTGATACGAATAGTAATAGAGGATAGAATAGAAATGGTGATCCGAATAGTAATAGAGGATAGAATAGAAATGGTGATCCGAATAGTAATAGAGGATAGAATAGAAATGGTGATCCGAATAGTAATAGAGGATAGAATAGTAATTGTGATCCTAATAGTAATAGAGGATAGTATAGTAATAGAATAAAAGCCTAACAAAGTGGGACCCTATGACACCAAATCTCAGAAAATACAGCTCTGAGATATTTCCCGAAGTAGAAGAAAACCCTGGATGATTCTGACAAAGTCGAACCACCACGAAGACCACAAAAGACCTGCATCAACAACCGGGGGAGAATTTGATTATAATGAACTATCATATCCTAGCGATTTCAATACTAACCACGCTGTAAAAAAGGCTGTTTAACTAGTAGCGATCACTTTAGCAGAATAAAGTTTTGTTTTTTTTAAGTTGATATTAGGCGTTATCTAGTCACTATACATTAATCTAAATTACAGATTCTCAATTAAAATAAAATATGAAAAGAAACTATCTTTTATACATATTAAGTGAAAGAAAAAGTATTCTGATTTTATTTGACCATTGCGGCATTTTTCAGCTTCAGCACTTCGCAATATTACCATAACGTCGTGACAACGTTTGGGATAGCAGCCAGTTTGGGGTCAGGAAAATAGTTAATTTAAACGTTACAGTCTAACGTTTTCATATATCCCTCAACCAAAAATGTGTCTTCAACGTTTCTAGAACGTTCCGAGTTGATACTTAGTTTAAAATAATGCTTAGAAATTGCCAGAATAATCAAGATTGTCATAATTTCAAAGAAAAATATTTTTCATACACCAAATTGTTTTCGAATCGGTGGCAAGGTCAAAACATACCTGTAGGCTTTTGATGCTATGCAGTCTTCCCCTTTCTCTTAGAATCATCACTCTTATGTTATTGTGTTTCAATAACACAAAACGATGATTCTTGCTTCGTTGGTATTTTTATCTATCTTCTTGTGAAGTTCTCGATGGATTGCATAAATATCCACGTGAATTTTCAAGTTATTCTGAACAGGCACATATGCATAAGCACATACGTTTGAATATGCACATATAAGCACATTGTGTGTATATATATAAATAAATTGTAATCTGATTACTACTTACACGCGTAATCATTTATGGTCACATGCAAAATATGATCTTGTATATATATATATATATATATATATATATATATATATATATACTGTATTTTGCTAATTGTAGGGTTTCGAAGAATTGTCAATTAAACAGCTGCCCAGTAATTTTCTGGGGATATAACTTGACTAAATTAAGGAAGACGTCGGTTGTTAAACTAATTATGTCGCTATAATTAGTTCAACTTTATTAACAGAAAGCTTTATATGATTTCTGAAGTAGATATTTATTGTCTAAAGATCGGGTTTAGTGACAGGAAATTACGAAACGCACAGCGCAATTAACTTAGCTGTGTGTGAATTAATAGGATCATAAAACACAAAAATTGAATAGCGTCAGACTCTTTTACAATGCATATCATTGTACTGTCAAGTAGATCATGAAAGAATGAACATGACTTTTTGATGAGATTTCCCCATGTATGAATTAGTATATTTTCGTTTCACCGTGTATATTGTCTCACACACGCACTTCTCTCCTGCCTTATCTATCTCTCTCTCTTCTTCCTTATCTCTCTCTCTCTTCTTCCTTATCTCTCTCTCTCTTCTTCCTTATCTCTCTCTCTCACTTCTTCCTTGTAAATCTCTCTCTCTTCTTCCTTACCTCTCTCTCTTCTTCCTTATCTCTCTCTCTTCTTCCTTATCTCTCTCTCTCTCTTCTTTCTTATGTATATCTATATTTCTTCTTCCTTGTAAATCTCTCTCTCTCTTCTTCCTTATCTCTCTCTCTCTTCTTCCTTATCTCTCTCTCTCTTCTTCCTTATCTCTCTCTCTCTTCTTCCTTGTAAATCTCTCTCTTCTTCCTTATCTCTATCTCTCTTCTTCCTTATCTCTATCTCTCTTCTTCCTTATCTCTATCTCTCTTCTTCCTTGTAAATCACTCTCTCTTCTTCCTTGTAAATCACTCTCTCTTCTTCCTTGTAAATCTCTCTCTCTTCTTCCTTGTAAATCTCTCTCTCTTCTTCCTTGTAAATCTCTCTCTCTTCTTCCTTATCTCTATCTCTCTCTTCTTTCTTATGTATATCTCTCTCTTCTTTCTTATGTATATCTCTTCTTCCTTGTAAATCTCTCTCTCTCTCTCCTTCCTTATCTCTCTCTCTCCTTCCTTATCTCTCTCTCTCCTTCCTTATCTCTCCCCCTCTATCTCTCTCTCTCTGCCTCTCTTTCTCCCTCTCCCCCCTCTCTCTCTCTGCCTCTCTCTCGCACTATCTTTTTTTTTGTCTGGAAATGTTGTTATAGCTAATTTTTCTTGTTGACAAAGGTTACAGATGTTGCTATGATTGTCGTTAGGTTTTGCTTTTTTTTTCTTTTTTTTTTTTTTTAAAAAAAAAACATTTTGTACTAGAGATCGAAAATTATGAACCGTTATAGAGATACTAAAAAGTTCCTTTTGAGCTCATTTGAAGTGGGATAAAAAGAACAGATGTATATTTCATTTAATCCAATACATTTCCAATACACTTGATTTTCTCCTCCTTCTCACACCTCATGTTGTGCGCTTATTCATTCCATTTTTTTTTTTTTTAAATATAGCGTTCATAATTTTTTAATTTTTAAAAATTAAAGCGTTAAGAAATCAATTGACCGAATTCACCAGAAGATAACAAAAAGTTGAAACCAAGATAGCGGAATCGGCTGATTTCCTGATTTTTATACTTTAAAGCACTACATGTTAAATTTTATCTTTTTATAATTGTATTGAGCACTTGCTTACTACTGTTCCCTTGTCGAATACATCTTTTACCATTAACTTCTTATATATATATATATATATATATATATATATATATATATATATATATATATATATATATATATATATATAATGTAGTGTGTGTGTGTGCATTCTACAAAAACACACATCTCAAGAAATAACCTTCTGCTATGTAAATTTATTGTAAATTGTTCCCACTACCCAATCCCTCAAAATAAATAAAGTTAAGTATAGGAAATAATAAAGGGAAAAGATAAGTCACAATATGCTTTAAATTCCTATTTCGCTGCTGTTTTGAAATTTTGTATATAAGTATTATTGTAAAACAGCACAAGGAAAGGGCATGTAAAAATATGCCTTAAGTAATTTAGATATTAACTTTTTTATTGTAACTTAAAATAATTTGAAATTTTTGTAAGTAATAACACACTTTAAATGTAGTATGAGCATTTTTTTTTCTTTCTTGGTATGAGGAGGGGGATCAGTTCACAATTAATTTACATAGAAAGATTACAGGCATAATAAATGAAATATACAACAGTGGTGATATATCAGAAGACCTAACTAGATATACGGAATAGGTTTGTTTACGTTAATGACACTACACATGCGCACAAACGAGAGACGCTGGGAATTTCATTTAGTTTCCTTTTCTTTTCTCTCGTTTCTATCATCTTATTAAATATTCCATATTGTGATAAGACATCTGCCAAGAATAGTGAAACATTGTAAGAACCTAAACCCAAATTTACTATGGATGAACTGGCGATTAAAACATTTTCGTCTTAGTAAATTATTTTTTCTTTAATTAAAGTAGCATTTTTCACATCAAAATTGTGGTTAGTCTCGTTACGATGAGCAACTAATGCGTCTAATACTTTGTTTTTAGGGTTTTTTTTTGTTTATTTTTTTGTTTGTTTTTTTAATGCCTCTTTTGTGTTCATATAATCTTTTATTTAAACTTCTTGAGGTTTCTCCGATATATTCTTTCTTGCAGCCTTTGTTGGTGATAGAGTAAATTCCTCCTTCATGTTTTGGCTCGTTTTTTGTCATTTTTTTATTGATTCTCTTTTATTGTCTTTCCTCCAAAACTTGTCTTCATTATATAAAAATTTATATATCGTTAACCTACACACACACACAATACGACATTTTGGAGGGACCGTACTAAAAATGTTCCAAGCACATACGTTATTAAAGTTTCACTGATAGCAGTACCCCTGCAGAAATTATTATTTACAACCGAACTGTTCCTTGATGTATATAAATACATGTTTATAAAATCTCCTTCAGATATGTACACTTACTTTTTTTTTTTTTTAAATTTTGTACTGAAATCAGTGAAACGCAATCAGATTAATATTTATATTCTTCCATGCACGGCACACATTCGCCCCCCCTCTACGTAGGCGCATGCGCTGTTGTCGGTATTTCACTACCCCCAACTCTGATGTCTCACGAGACTCATCACTTACGTCAACAGACAAAATCGATGATGGCTGCCTGACGTCTTCAGTGACGTTGGAAAAAGCCTACAAAACTTGTTCATATGTACATATGTCTATTTGAGATCGAGAAAGACTACTCTTCACTTGGAAGTCCCTATTTAAATGGGTATGTTAAAAAATATACATGTTGGAAGACGTGTGTGTCTCTATCCACAGTACCATCTGAAGTTTTAATTAGGGAAGACAAAAAAAAATAATCACCGCTATGGTTTAACTTTTTTTTCGTTTCAGTAAGTTGATTTTAAATGTGCTTTGCCCGATTCTCCATTTGAAATAAAATTTTCATAGCATTTTTTTTATTATGCAATAATTTTCTCTAGTACAAGTTTGAGGAGTCTGGCGTTTGTATGTATGCTAGTCTAAGAATAAGTGAGCACTAAATTATATATATATATGTGGTTGAAGTGGGCGGGGAATGTAAAACGTACTCACATAGACACGTACATATACTTCATATTTGATAGAGGATCTTCGGGGACACACACACACATGCATATATAGAGAGAGAAAGAGAGAAAACAATTTTAGGAAAATCTGACAAGATGGGAAACATTTTCTGTGACGAATTTCGTCCTTTAGACTCTATACCCATCATATTTAAAACAATAATTGAAAATTTCAGCGTCCCCTCTTCATGCGCATGTGTAATCACATCTACGTAAACATCACTTAAGTCCGAAGGCAGGCCGAAACATATCACACGTAAAGATTTTTCCACTTCGTCATAAATTTTCCTTATACACACACACACACACACACACTCACACACAGTGAGAACATTATATAACAGAACGCCCATTAAATTGGAATGTGGCACAAGGCACATTTAGTGTGGAGAGTCCCACGCATACATGGGCGGCGTGGGACTCTCCACACTAAATGTGCCTTGTGCCACATTCCAATTTAATGGGCGTTCTGTTATATAATGTACTCACTGTGTTACACACACCATCTCCTATACTGATTACTCTGCCCCAACAAATATAGTAAAATTTAAACAAGAGAGTTTATATATATATATATATATATATATATATATATATATATAAAATGAGAGATAGGAAGGCTTTTGAAAAATTCTTGACCTCCCACATTTCCCAAAATCTGAACAAATAAATAAGACTCTAATTCTGATTTGGTCAGACCGAGAACTTTTCAGTACCCCCACTACCACATATGTCCTTCATGTATGTTCTTTTTGTCCGTCTGATTATGTTTGTGTTATATTTCCGGCCTATGTTTTCCAGGCTTTGTGGATGTATGTACATACATCTGAGAGAGAGAGATGAGGTGTTTGTTATGATGGGGAAAACGATTTGATCGATTATTCGAACACAGTTTTTCCTTCCCTGTAATAAGAAAAAAAAATAATACTCAACACCTTGGCTGATCGCTCAGCTTGTCTGTGACGTCAAACGAATATCGGACGCTGATTGGCTGGTGTTACTTTGATGTGCCACTTCACAGAGCCGGTCGAATTCATTGCCCGAAGCAAAAGAAACTACGTCATAACTCGAGTCATAAAAAAAAAAGAAAACAATAAGATGAAATATTTACATTGAACACAAATGAAGAATCATTACAGGCGATCATCTTGGCATTTAAAATGTGTGAAGGTATAAAAGCTATTAAAAGTATCAATCATATATTTAAGCGATATATCTTTACAATATATATGCAACTTTTGGGGTAGAGATCAGAGCTCATTTAGTAATCATGCTGAATCTGTAATAAATTGACTGATCACAAGATATATTAAATCAAACTTGATTTAACAATCATTAAAAATTGAGCACGTACAAACGCTAGATTTTATGTATCTTTCTTTTTTTTACCAATAAGAAATATATATGCATGTAATACATTGTACTAAGTGCGAAATAATAATTCCCTTCACGTACTCTCTTCAAATTCAGAGGAATGAGAATTTCGAGGGAAAGGAATTCGTGAACCGATGTGAAATTTTCTTTGAACCAATGAAAACTTTATGTTCACAGAAATTAGCCGGTCAGCCAAGAATAAAAAGAAAAAGTAGCGAGCCTCTGCGAAATTATTTTTTGATATAAAATAAGGAGAAAAGTTAAATTAATAAAAGTATCTGAAGGCATGTGAAAGGTTTTGTTTCTGTTCATCATGACCAGTGTTGAAGTTCCTGCCAATATAAAAATTATTCGCCAATTATATTATCGGCCTCTAACCAAGCACGCGGCACTTCAAAGAATTTTATCTCAACAATCCTGGTAAGCTAAGTATTTCAAACTCTCTTCGTCTATCTTTGAACGTATGCAAACCATATATCATTTCGATGAGCAACGGACTCTCTTACATTTGTCTTAAACATTTTTAATATTATTTTATGTCAGATCATTTAATCTGTTGTATGAACATTTCCTCCTTATGACAATACTTTAAAACTACAGACTTTAAGATTTCTGATTTATATTCCTGAAACGATCTGTTGACGCTACTCCAAGCATGTAAATTTGTGAATAAATTCCTCATCTTGTTTTGTTCGAATTACCTGTGTGTTTCCTCGTCATTGTTATCCTTCATTAATCTTCTTGGCTTGCGTAAATCAAGTGTTCATTTTAACCCCTAAACCCCACGTCATTATAGCGTTTTAAATACCATGTTACTCTAAGATGTAGGCATGTGGTTAGAACGTTCGCATTCTGACCATGAGACCCGGGTTCGAATCTCACCAAGGTCGATTCGTCAGGAAGGAGACTTCCTGGTGTTATCGGACAGGAAGGACCAACCTTTGAAAAGTGCCTGAAAACCATAAAACCATACCACGCCTTGTGAGTGGAAATCGGCTAGACGATACCCTATCGTCGATAGCTGTGCTAGTACTAAGTCACAAGTCATTATGGCCGAGGGTTTGAGCCTGCTGGTCTTGTTCAAACTGTTGATCACACGAGATAACACGCTCTTTCCCAGAAATTGTAACTAAGGTCTGCTCGGCAGAGTTGCAGTATAAACAGGCTGTTGAACAAACACAAAATGTGAGTAGATGCCTGC